ATACATACATACATACATACATACATACATACATACATACATACATACATACATAGATACAGAGATACATAGATACATAGATAGATAGATAGATAAAGGTTGTTCTGTGGTGTTAATACTGTGTCAGTTAAAAGACTCTCTAAAACTATTTAAAAATAGAAAGACGAGAAAGGGACTTTGTGTTATGGGGAGTGAATACGCATTTTTAACGTTTACTTCTTTTCAAAGAACATTTACAGAACCAGGAAATAACAGTCCCGTGGGAGGGAGGGGTTAACCTTTTACTAGTTTTTAATTTTTTTCTGCTTCAAATTCATCAAGGCATCTAGATCTATATCAATCTTCCAGGCGTGTAATTAGTTGAGACCTCCCACGTCATTGGTGCAATGCAATAAACTCTGTTAGCTCCCCTTTTTTCCTCAAACATCTATCCATAAATATCACAGAAGCAAGCACACCTGAAGGTAGTAAAACATCGATGCACTCAGGTTAACAGAGTCTATGGGACAATTACTGCATTTCTAATCTGATTTCAGCTATAACTTATCCTTAATGGCTGGCGGTAACAGCGCTTAGAGGATTATGTGCAATCCAGTCGTCGGATGAGGATGTAAAGTTGTCTCGATACGTAAAAAAGATTTTTTTTTAAAACCTTGACTCCGCAGCAAATGGGCTTCGGTGGTAACGTTATTTACGGGTCTTTTCCTTTTGTTGAAAACGACTTTGCAGCAGTACTGCGTGTATGTTTGCGGTCGTTTGTTTTGTTTTGTTTTGTTTTGTTTTGTTTTTGTTTTGTTTTTAAGGGGGAGGGGTTGTTCCAACCCTGCTTAGTTTGAAAGAATAATGCTGCGTTTTGCTTTAGATAACTTGTGAAGGTGACGGGTTTAAACATATTATTCTCTTGTGCCAAAAAAAAAACCCGATTTATTTTACTTCCCTTTAGAAACCCGCTTCAACACCAACGTCTAAGCAGAGACGGGAGGGAGAGAGAGGGGGGGTGGGGGGAGAGAGAGATTGGGGGGGGAGAGTGAGAGAGGGGGAGAGAGAGACAGATAATGTAGGGATGTGGATTAAGGGGGGGGGGGGTATCCAAGGTTTTTAGAATTAGTCTGAGTATCTTATTTTCTGAATCCCCCGATGGGAAACGAAAAAACCCAACTGATATCAGCAAGGCGCTACAAGCCCTCTTACGGAACCAACATTAAGCATTTAAGTCCCCCTGTGACTGGCTGGTTTCTGCGTTGATGTATCTTCATTCCTTTCTCATTCCTTATTTTTTCTTTCCCTCCTTTTTGTACTTTAACAATGGAGTCAAGGGCTCCACATTTGAAAGAACATGATTTCTTGTGTAGACCGTAAAAGATTTACACAAAAAAAAGAAAAGGAAACAAATAGGGTTTTTTTCCCCTGTAGCCGGTCATAAACTTCAGACACTCCTGTTCCCACTGCCCTGATGTAAACTCCCATTACATGCCATTTTT